CCCAACACTAAAAATTATTACAATTGTATCCCTAAATTTATCTTATAAATATTGAAATATGATTCTTAATAAAACACACACAACCCATTGACTTTTATTCCCTCTTTCTAAAATAACTGTATTCTTTCCTTTGTTTGATTTTTTTTGTCCCATTAAATTTTTATCAAATAAGGTTTTAAGAAAACAGATATTTTGTAATATGTTATTGAAAGGAGAGTGCTGTAAATGGTAAGTGTATTAATGAATGACAATTATATCCCAACACTAAAAATTATTACAATTGTATCCCTAAATTTATCTTATAAATATTGAAATATGATTCTTAATAAAACACACACAATCCATTGACTTTTATTCCCTCTTTTCTCTCTCTCTCTCTCTCTCTCTCGTTGAGAATCCATTTTCTTCTCCTAAGGAAAAAAAAGAAAAAGCATACACAAGCAAACACAGGAAAAATTACAGATTCTGTGTGTGCGCGAGGTTTTTCTGATTCCAATTTATTGAATATTCTGTGTTAATTCTTTCTGTTCCTTGTTGGAATATAAAATCCACATCAGCAGATTCTAGAGACTTCCTAGTTAGCTAGTTATTTTCTCTATAGATACTAGAGTTTGTACCCATTTTAATTGATTGGGTTGTAGTCTCCAATCCCTCCTTCCATGGAGGTCTTTTCCTCCTATATGGAGTGTCTTTCCTCCTTTGTGGAGTGTCTTACTCTTCCTCCTATTATGGAGTGTTAATCATCCTCGTATTTTGGAGTTGTTTGTTCCTCCTATCATGGAGTGTAATTCCTCCTTTAATGGAGTGGTTTGTTCTTCTCCTTATGGAGTTTAATATATTGTTTTTCATTCAATAAATCTAATATTCCTCACTATTTGCTTTAGCTATCAACGACAACAGAAGGTTTGTATTATGTTCTCACTCGCGTATACGTTGTGACATTGCAGATTCATTCGTGTATGTATGTCTAATTTCTAAGAATTAGCTTTGATTTGATTGTTAATTTTTTATGCATGTATACTCTATGTTCACTTGTATGTATTGGAGTTTACAGTTTATTTATATTTAGTTTTATGTTAATCCTTAGATAAATTTATTGGTGATCTATTTCTACAAAACTTTGAATTATAATTTTATGTGGGTTAGTGGATTTGAAGTGTTGAATCGTTGTATTCAGCACTAGGTTTCATAATCTGGGACTCGTTTCTGGAGATTTAATTTGAAATCGGTGTTCTCATGTACATGCTCATTGAAAAATAGTAATGATTTCAGCACCGATTGTTTAAAGTTTTGATTTATTGAAGCCAGATTTCTGGCCTTTTATGCTCAATTCTTATAAGCATATAACATGTGGGAGTGTATTGATGTTCCTTGATCAGTCCTTGGCTTAGTTATTTACAGAGTCTTTGATTTCTTCGTTGAACAAAATACTAAACTATTCGGCCAAGGCAAAACTCAGTTTTTCCATTTATTTATTTATTTCAACAGCCATATTTATCTCTCGGAAAGCTCAATTTAGGGAATCCACTTAACTACGTCGTTGATCCTTGTTGGAACATTTGGTGTTACCATGGGACTCAACAATCCACCATTTATTGTTATCTTCACAGGCTAATTGTTGAATTGCTTTGGTAGAAAGTTTTGGCAATGGGGTATGTGAATACAGAGAAGAAATGGGTATTTCCTCTTGTTATAAGTTCTTTACTATTTGTTTTCCTTGTTGCAAACTCCTTCAGCACGGGGCTTGTTTCCTCATTGCACACTATCAATTCTATCTTTTCAGTCTTCCCGTCTCGTGCTGTGTCCAATCAAACCAACGTTTACTTTGAGGCGAAGGTCAATCAAGCTCCACTGTTTTCTGCTGGTCCTTCCATTCCAAAGTTTGCTTATTTGGTTTCTGGTCCGAAAGGTGATTTAGACGAGCTTTGGAGGACACTACACACACTGTATCATCCATGGAATTATTATCTTGTCCATTTGGATCTTGAATCACCTCCAGAGGGGAGACACGAGCTCAATTCTCGAGTGAAAAATGATCCTATTTTTGCCGAGGTTGGTAATGTGTATGTGATTAGGGCTAGGCAAATATCCCGAATTGAACCGATCGAACCGAATCTGACAGTTCTTGTCAAATTAAGTACCCGAACCGATATCTGAATTGAGAATCGAATAAGAATTGAATCTTTCTAATTTTCTTTTAAATTAAATAAATCAAATTATTTTAATTTTAATTTTTTCTAAACAAATTAACAATTTCTAAATCTAAATTTTTTGCCTAATAATTTGTTTCATTTCTAATTTTTTAATTTTTGGCCAAATTACCAATTTTATTATCTCATTTCTTAGTCTAACAAGATCCAATCCACTAAATAACCCTAAACACATATACTAAAGTGTATAACGTTGTCTCGACTCTCGCAGCCTCGCTAACATTCCAAAACATATACAATCGTCGATCGACGCTATGACATCCGCCAACCGAAATTTTGATCGTAGCGATCATTAGAATAAGGTAGTCTACTAGTCTCTGATATTTCAAAATCATTGAACGTGTCATTAGTTGTATTTATATAATGTTATTATAAATGTTAAAAAATTTAATTATAGTACAGAACCGAACGGAACTGAACCCGAACGGTTCCATAATTATATTTGGACCCGACGGTTCCATTTACTAAATACCCGAAAATTTTGATTCGGTGAGAAACGACCCGTGCCCACGCCTATATGTGATTACCAAAGCGAATATGGTTACTTGTAAAGGACCTACCATGGTGTCTAATACTCTTCATGCATGTGCCATTCTTCTAAAACAACATAAAGATTGGGATTGATTTATTAACCTCAGTGCTTCAGATTATCCTCTGGTGGTGAGCTTTTTCAATTGTTTCTGCTCTCATAAAGCAAGTTTACACCATCTATTTGCTCGTGGTTCTTCTAACATTGATAGTTCATTGTTGCAGATCTTATGCACACATTTTCCAATATAAGCCGGAAACTGAATTTCGTTGAGCATACAAGCAATTTAGGATGGAAAGTGTAAGTCTTATGTGTTTGTTGGATTCATGTACGATGATTAATAAGATTGAAAACCATTAACACTTATTTGGTTTTCTTGCAAGCATGGAAGGGGAATGCCATTGATCATAGACCCTGGACTGTACCAGAAAAACAAGTCTAATATAATTTGGATCACACCTGGGAGAACCTTACCCACTGCATTCAGATTGTTCACGAATCAATCCACACATTTGTCTAGTTGATATTTTCAAACCATTCATTTCCCAAATGTAAATTATTAAATCATCAGCTCGAATTGATCCCGTAAAGTAGCATTTCCTGAATTTACCACACTGCACGTTTTGCAAGTTCAGCTTCGATGATCCTATCACGTCAATTTATGGAGTATTTAGAGGTGGCTCGGCTCGGCCCTTAATCCCACAAGCTTGGCTCGTTGAAATTGGGCGAGCTCGTGGGCTCGTCTTTTTTTTTTATTATATATAAGTGTGAAAGTGTTAAAAATAAAAATAAAGTGTTAAAAAACTATGATTTCTTGACCATATCAAAAGTGTTAAAAAATAAAAATAATTTAACAAAACCAATTTTTTATTTTTTTTAGTTATATCATATGATTCATATTGTGATACTTTTTATAAAGTATAAAATATTTATATAATGAAGACAAATTATTTTTTGAAATACATCTACAAATTTTTTTTTTCATTTCTTTTTAAAGTTAATAAAATGTAAACCCTCCTCCTTTATCCGGGTTTGGGACCGACTACATCAATTTTAAGTAGGCGGAGTTAAAAATTGTACACGAACAACTTATTGTAACGTGTACAATGTTTTAAAGAAAATTAAATTTAACGATTAAAAAATAATGAAATTTTGATTAATATAATTAAATCAAATATCACTTACCTGACGACATGCAATTTCAGCGTATTTATCTTGTAGTCGAAAATGAGCGTCCTGCCAATCCTTCACACACATTAACGCTTCCAAAACATCTTCTTTCAGTCGGCTCCTAACATCTATCAAAACCCTTTTACCTACACTAAAAGCAGACTCCAAAGCAACAGTGCTAACAGGAAGTGTCAACAGATCTTTCGCAATTGCAAAAACAATTGGCCAACGTCTTTCCTACTTTCGCCAAAATTCAATTACTTCTTTTTAACTTTTTTTAATTGTTCTGTCTATTGGCATATTATGATTGAAGTAATCAATTAATTCGGCAGGCATTGCATTTTGAATTTCGACCGATGTTTGATGAGATGCAAATATAGACGACATGGCACTAGATGAACACATTGCAGTTGCATCAT